ATGGGGTCACAGCTCAGCGTTACATTGACCAAGTCATCAGACCCCATGTTGTTCCATTTTTCGCCCAACATCGTAACCACCTTTTCCAGCAGGATAACGCTCGTCCACATGTTGCAAGAGTTACCATGGACTTTCTTCAACAACACAACATCCGTGTCCTACCGTGGCCAGCTCTCAGCCCTGACCTGAACCCCATCGAGCACTTGTGGGATGAGGTTCAAAGGCGCCTGAATGAATTGCGACCAGTGCCTACAACTGCTGATGAACTTCGTACAGCTGTTCTGGATGTGTGCAGGAGGATCCCCAGGGCCTTTACGAATCGTCTGATCCACTCCATGTACAAGAGATGTGTTGCAGTGATCAATGCTAATGGTGGCCACACCAGGTATTGAATGACGTCATGGCAATTGACTAGAATCTGCGCAACTCTTTTGCTGTCACAAAATGTAATGACGTCATCTGTTTTTTGTTGCCAATGAACTGGTCTTGCTCAAATTTCTGTATATCTGACGCTGTTGGTATTTGTATTCTATACTGTTAAAAAATAAGTACATATATACTTTATACTAAACTTGCGTTTCTTTTGCGTGTGAGTTTATATTGTAATTTGCCTGTAGTTTTAGATTTTACATGCTAGTTCTACGACTGTATTTGTGATATTCTAGTTGTTTTTTACTGTTCTTTGTCAACAGGGGACGTCGGGGTAGCCTAGTGGTTAGAGCGTTGGCTCGTCACGCCAAAGATCCGGGTTCGATTCCCAACATGGGTACAACGTGTGACACCCATTTCTGGTGTCCTCCACCGTGATTTTGCTGGAATATTGCTAAAAGCGGCGTTAAGCCATACTCACTCACTTACTCACTCTATATGTTGGATATATTTGTCATGAATGTATAATTTGTGTTAGTCACTATACGGCTGAAATACTGCCGATGTGACTAAAAATCCACCCTCTCACTCGAATATCAACGAAAGAAGGTTAGCATATATCCTATATTCCAATATATTGTTGGATTATTGTTAAAAGCGGCGCAAAACCCTGTTCACTCACTTACTCACTGACACTTCTGGTTTAGATGAGTGAGTGAGTGAGTAAGAGAAGCTTATTAGCCACACTGGTAGAATTTCGGCCATTTTAGGACTAAAGAAATTATGCGTTGATAATAAGTAAACTTTCAATATACAAACTGTCGGCAAAGGAAAATAAAGAACTAGAATATCACAGAGAGGATTGAAAGTAGCTAGCATGTAACTTTAAAATTATACCACTATTTAGGAAATACAATGTATGAACGGACTATAGATCGCCAACAACTGAAAGTAGATTACCAAACTAGGGACCTTAGGGACCTACAGTACTTTTGCTACCTGAATGGAGTCTAGCTGGGTCTACATCATCCCCTCAGCTGTTGGCGATGGTGCGCAGTTAAGCCATTACAAATAGTCTACGAATAAAACACTGGTAGACCTAAAATTACTTTAAATGTTTTGGAACTTACGTGAGGGACAGTAGAGAATACTACACGAGGTTTCATTACATACGAATTATACGAAACTCGTTTAATTCGTATGTTATGAGACCGAGTGTTGTATTTTATTTGTTACCCACCTCTTACATGCATTAAATTGACAAAACCGAAACCGGTTTCATAAAGAGGTTGAGGAAGAATGTTGTTCTGTAGTACACTTTTTGCATGACGTCACACTTTAATGACGTCACTACGCCTTGCTCGTCTGCCTCCTTGGTAACCGACGTCACGATGCATGTCAGTTGTCATCGCCTCGCACAGCCTCCTAAATTAAACTACTCCGTAGCACCCCGTTTCGTAGTTTGCAGCTGCTTCACTCGGCTACCATCACTGGTGGAAACTTTGCGTTTATGTTTTTTCTACGATGTCTCAGTTCGACTCACAATTAAACAGCGATACAGCAACGTTCGCAATGTCTACATTCCCACAATGCATACAAGTTGTAGAATGAATAAATTCACTTGTTTGTTATGAATGAAAAAGTAGTTCCGTCACAACGTGACCTAATTGAGAGGTCATCGGTTATCCAATCAAATTGTTAGAATCTCAGGTCAAGTCGTTACGACACAGGTCAACGCGATACGACACTCGTGTGACGTACGAGATTAGTATGCAACTAACTACCCATAAGTTGACCACGTGGGTAATAAATCCAACCATTTTAAAATGACAATTATCTATTAACGTACCAATCAAATTTTGTTCTCAGTCAATTCTACTTCTTTGAAAACAAATCAATAAATAAATGAAAAGTAACATTATTAAAAACATCCTTTGTGAATGAAGCTTTGGAATAGTTATCCATTGTAATAATAATAATAATAAAATAATAACAGCAAGGGCCCTGAGCTGATGTGGCAAGGGTCCTGAGCTGATGTGGCAAGGGCCCTGAGCTGATGTGGCAAGGGCCCTGAGCTGATGTGGCAAGGACACTAAGCTGATGTGGCAAGGGCCCTGAGCTGATGTGGCAAGGGCCCTGAGTTGATGATGAACCTTACCAGCCTGACTGTGCCAGGATCACCTGAACCCTCTCTGCTGCATTTTCATCTTTAATCTGTAAAACATAATAATACTAAAATAATAACTAGATATTCCCCTTGCGCTAGTATCCAGGGCCTCGATTTTCGAAGCTCTCTTAGCACTAAGATAGTCGTAAGCTAATGTTAATGTATGGCACTTACGACAATCTTAGCGCTAAGAGAGCTTCGAAAATCTAGGCCCAGTTTAGTAACTGCTCAGAAGCACTTTTTGGAGCCTGCACACAAACTGCAAATGGTTAACAATATGTTTCAGTGGAAAAAGTTTGTTTTCAACTTTGACTGAAAAGTAGTCAGTTCTGTGGTGGGTCATATCTCCTGTGGAAGGGCTGTTCCAGAGAACAGGGGCTGCTCTGAAGAAGCTGCGGATGCCAGAGCGTGACTTCCTGGGTGTTGGAACACAGAGAAGATGTTGTCCTGATCTCAGGGCTCTGGGTGGCTCATACCCGTTTATGAGGTCTTGTAGATAGGGTGGTGCCAGTCCTTGCGTCGCCTTGAACACTAGTACCAGAATCTTGTACTTGATTCTCTCAGCGACCTTGAGCCAGTGTTTGTTCTTCAAGACTGGACAAAAACGCTGATCCTTTCTTGTCTTGGTCGCGAGTCTGGCGGCTGCATTTTGACATCGCTGAAGCTTGTTGATAAGGTGTTTCGGGATATCGTACAGCACTGGATTGCAGTAATCCAGGTGCGACAACACACATGACTGGACTAGAGTGGCAGCAGTCTTTACATTCTAGAATCTTCTTACTTAGCTGATGTTTCTGATGTTATAGAGTGCCGTTTTACAGACTTATGAGATTCTGCACTTGCGTGATTTGTCACTTGGAGGAATAACACACTCTCCCACCATGAGGTCTGGAAGGGCTAACTTGCTTCTGACAGACTTAGAACAGATGACGAGAAGTTCAGTCTTCTCACTGTTGAACTTGAGAAAGTGTGTGGTCACCCACACCTTGATATCTTCCACGCATAGCATCATGCGATTGAAAGCATTCTGGACTTATAGGCTCTGTGATGGTTTAAATGCTAGATAAAGCTGAGTGCCATCAGCGTAGAAGTGGAATGACTGATGATGTGCCCTTGCAATGGAAAACATTGGAATGGAAACATTAGTACAGTCATACAGGACACGTTTGACCGCGAATCTTCGTGTTACCAGTGATTCCATCACGTAAAGATTCGGGTTAGAACTGGTCAGAAACCCATACTTGTCGTCAGAGGCGACTAACGGGATCTTGTGGTCAGGCTCACTGACTTGGTTGATACATGTCATCGTATCCCAATTACGTAGATCGATGCTCATGCTGTTTATCACTTGACTGTCTGGTCCAGACTGGATTATTTACAGACCGCCTCCATATAGCTTGAATATTGCTGAGTGCGGCGTAAAACTAAACTCACTCACTCACTCAATAACGCTGCACCAAACTATCCAGCTATTGACATCATGGGAATCGATCCGCGGCGGTCTGTAAATAACCGGATCCAGACAATCCAGTGATCAACAGCGTGAGCATCAATCTACGCTGTTGGAATGTCAACCAAGTCAGCTAGCCTAAGCACACCCGATTCCGTTTCTTGCCTCTTACGACAAGCATGGGATGCTGAAGATTCTGATTCTAACCTGGATCTTCACGGTTGACGATGTCGTGAAATCAGACAGTCACCGAGTGTAACCACCAGATTCATTTGCTTGTCTACTGAGACACGAAGAGTGAATATAAATTGAAAATTGTTATTTGAGGATTCCCTGATACAGTTTGTCCCCAATACATTATACTATTTGTACGAGTATGATCAGTTTTACTGATTGTGCGTCATTGTATCCGATGACATTGTAAAATTCTCATAATAAAAGTCCTTTTTTGTCCCTTTTTGGGAGTCACTATGATTCTCAAAATAATTTTAGGGGTCAAAGGCAGACATTTGAGTTTTATGAGGCTTGCATGAAGTAGGTTGCGGTATTAAATAACTATGGTTGGGTTTCGATATAGATCATAAAAATCGACAATCTATATATCGATCGATTATCGATAAATATCGGATGTGTAACTTTTAGTAAAAATAATAAAAAATATATATTTTTGAAAGACATGAATATATTTCACATCGTTGGTGAGTTGTGACATGTTTTGGCATGGATTATTAACAAAACAGCGTCCTGAACATAATTTGGAAGCAGTCCATGAATAAAGTCCTAAATTTGTATATTGTGTAAGAAAATAAAACATGTTTCTATCACAAAATTAATGTACAATATTATCGGTAACACAATATTTCTATCGATAATCGTGACAATTTTCTCCATTGACGATATTAACGATTATCGATTATTATAGCCAGCCCCAACAAATAACACGCACGCAGTTACGTTTTCCCTTAAATATTGTAGTCTTTTTAGCGTTAATATATTTTTTCTTGTTTTGAACAGAGTTAAATGAAATGGAAATATTCCTTGGCGGATCGGTGAAGGACTATGATGGAGACTGGAGATGGATGGATGGAACATCGTTCCAGAACATAACCTTTATAGTAGGGGAACTCGCAGGAAGAAAACAAACTTGTCTCTCTGTCCGTTTTTCAGTAGGATGGAACGACCCGAACTGCTTGATAAAAAGACCATTCATATGTGAGAAAATGATGTAACATGTTTGATGAGCAGCATGTTACGGTTAATAATTGCCGTGACAAAAAGGTTTAAGAGTCCCCTTTGAACCAGCAAAATATATCACAGAAAAGTCTTATATATTCAATAATATATTGACCAAACAAGGAGCAAGCTACAATGAATCACAACACAGATTTCTAGAACAATGCAATTGAGTCACAAATCTAAAGTAATGGGGCACAAATATGAAATATTAACTCACCAGAGTCGCGACAGTAACAATGAGAGCAGATATACTAATTGAAGGTAGTTTACAATGAGAGTTGAATAACGAACGCAGTGTCAATCTTGAATGTAGGTCAGACGAAGGCAGACAGATGTACACAACTCAAGTGATATGATAAGTCCATATGTTAGTCCGTGTGTGTGTGTCAACACAACAACCAGTTTAACATATATACTGACACATAGTCTAGAACATTCTTTATCCACTGAGAACTTTATGGAAATCTGTGGAACGTGAGGCCGGTCAAAACAGAAATAAAGCCAAGGGAGGCAACTCTGGAGCGCTGTCTCAAAAGGCGTGCCGCTAAAGATTACTATTGCCATTGAACGTATATGATGCAAGATGTGACCCACAACCCACACTCAAAACTCTAAACATTGTGACCCAATAACAACTATCACTTAATCAATGATTTTACAATATAAAAAAACACACTCTCGTAACAAGCAATCTGGTTGAAAGATGGGAAGATGGACGTTGAAGAAGACAACTGTGAGAAGAATTGGGATAATGGGCAGTTAATGTTTCTGAATTGTTGTACAACTGTATATACATCTCTGTGTTGTAGTAACATAGTGTGTGGTTGTTCATCATCCTAGTAAAATACATTTGATGTTGTAAAATAGTCTACAGCCTTGGTATCACTTTTAACAGTGTGAATACGACAGACAGGCAGACAGACAGACAGACAGACAGACAGACAGAGACAGACAGACAGACAGACAGACAGACAGACAGACAGACAGACAGACAGACAGATTGTTTATTGTAGTCTCTCCTCATTACAGCAGCAGATTTATGCACATATATAAATAATTTAAATAAACCTAATGAGCCACACTTAACAGAGTTATGGGAGACTATTAAAAACATGACTGACTGACTGACTAAGTTTGGTTTTAGGCCGCTTTTAGCAATATTTTAGCAATACCACGGCGGGGGACACCAGAAATAGGATTAAAAACATGAAACATATGCATAAAAACATCTGGAACAAAAAAATACAAATATATTTAATCATATACACTATAGCACTAAAAGTACAGGTAAAATACAGGTATATAGTATAGTACAGTAAAATATAAATACACGGTCTTAAGAAGCATTAAAAGGAAGGATTTTCTACGTTTTAAAACAGCATGGCAGGTTTTGGAAACAGGAGCATATTTCACAGGGTTTGTAAAAGTAAATTCAAGTCGTGAGTGTAGTTTGAAATATTACCATTTTAATAATGTGATCTGAGACACAACTTTAGTTTCACAACTTGAGAATATCGTTTGAGGGCGATCACAATGTTCCTGTTTAGTTTTTGTTTTTACATTTTCAAGTTTGAATTATGACCTACGTTGTTCGTCCCTGAGTTTATTCAAGAGTCTTTGGTCCCAGACGATGTCATTGACCTTTTACCTCATTGTTTTTCATGTCAATCGTCGATGTATCTTCGTTGTAACCATCAATTTTGTTGTAAGATTTACGATAAGCCTGTCAGGGCCCTATCTTGAAACGCTGTAAAAACACAGGTAAATGTGTGAAAGTGTTTTATTTTGTGTGTGTTTCCATGCCATTAGCATAAGTGGGGACCGAGTGGTTGAGTAAACTATGCTTATTTCATTTGCGACACAGCTATCCTGATGGTATTTGTCGACTTACAGTTACACCGTACTGTGCCTCGATGGGTTTGGGACGCAGATGATAAATTTGGGATGTTTTTAAGTCGGCACATAAGAACGAAGTCATTGAGGAGAATCGATCGGAAATATCATGTTCAGTGTATTCAGATCGTTAGCAAGAACCTTCCTATCTTTCGCAAGACCCTTCAGACCGTTGGCAAGAACCTTCAGATCGTTGGTTTAGATCCACTGGAGTTTACAGTAATACCCTTCACATCGTTGGATTAGATACTCTGGAGCTTACAGTAATACCCTTCAAATCGTTTGTTTAGATCCTCTGGGGCTTACAGTAATACCCTTCAGATCGTTTGTTTAGATCCACTGGAGCCTACAGTAATACCATTTAGATCGTTGGTTTAGATCCTCTGGAGCTTACAGTAATACCCTTCAGATCGTTGGTTTAGATCCTCCTGAGCTTACAGTAATACCCTTCACATCGTTGGATTAGATGCTCTGGAGCTTACAGTAATACCCTTCAGATCGTTGGATTAGATACTCTGGAGCTTACAGTAATACCATTTAGATCGTTGGTTTAGATCCTCTGGAACTTACAGTAATACCCTTCAGATCGTTGGATTGGATCCTTTTTCAGATCGTTGGTTCAGATCCACTGGAGCTTACAGTAATACCCTTCAGATCGTTTGTTTAGATCCTCTGGAGCTTACATGAATACCCTTCAGATCGTTTGTTTAGATCCACTGGAGCCTACAGTAATACCATTTAGATCGTTGGTTTAGATCCTCCTGAGCTTACAGTAATACCCTTCAGATAGTTGGTTTAGATCCTCTGGAGCTTACAGTAATACCCTTCAGATCGTTGGTTTAGATCCTCCTGAGCTTACAGTAATACCCTTCAGATCGTTAGTTTAGATTCTCTGGAGCTTACAGTAATACCCTTCAGATCGTTGGTTTAGATCCTCCTGAGCTTACAGTAATACCCTTCAGATCGTTAGTTTAGATTCTCTGGAGCTTACAGTAATACCCTTCAGATCGTTGGTTTAGATCCTCCTGAGCTTACAGTAATACCCTTCAGATCGTTAGTTTAGATTCTCTGGAGCTTACAGTAATACCCTTCAGATCGTTGGTTTAGATCCTCCTGAGCTTACAGTAATACCCTTCAGATCGTTGGTTTAGATCCTCCTGAGCTTACAGTAATACCCTTCAGATCGTTTGTTTAAATCCACTGATGCTTACAGTAATACCCTTCAGATCGTTTGTTTAGATCCTCAAGACCCTTCAGATCTGTTGTAGAGGGTGTTGGGTAGTGGGTGGTGGTGGTGGTCTCCCCTCTACAACACAGATTGTTTGTTTAGATCCTCAAGACCCTTCAGATCTGTTGTAGAGGGTGTTGGGGGGTGTTGGGTAGTGGGTGGTGGTGGTGGTCTCCCCTATACAACACAGATCGTTGGTTTAGATTATAATGTAAAGTTAAAGCGTCCAGACTGCTCGTTTAGAACATTTAGTGCTTCTATTACCATTCAGAACTTTCTTTGTGCCTTGACTGGTACCTGATATCAACGTTCAAGCTCCATGTTCGCGGGTCGAAATCACCACCCAAAAGCTTCCACGTACTTCATGCTGATTAGTAGCTGTTGATTTTATTTATATAAACTATTTAAATACCTAATTTCTGGAAAGAAAGTGAGTGTATTAGATTTGTTGTATGTTGTATTTGTTTGCTAATCAAACACACCATGTCATTATGTAGGATGCATATGGTTAAATGATGGTGAGTACAAGGCTGTAATTGTGCACATTGTAGAACAGGGTTAGTTTATTGATTGAACAAAACATTTGTATCTTAAAGGGGTATGCATTTACATCGTTAGTAGCAGTCCTGGGGAATAGAGCCCGCAAACCCCTTTAACTAGGCCCACCTAGCCCCGCCCCAACGTAGATCAACATAATATTATTTTCGTGAATTTACATAATTAATGTTATTTCATAAATGTTGTATTTTACAGAAATAAACCGAGTTGGTCACTCACTACGTTTGAGTTGTCTTGTAACCAGGTGTTGTGGAGCAGGACTGGTGCTGATGTTCTACACATCGTAATTCATCGCACATTCATGTAATAGTTAATGAATACACGTATTAAAATTTGATGTATGGGACAAGTGGTTCATTGTGACTTGCGCCATATCTGTTATCTCAGTCAAATAAGTGAGTGAGTGTAGTTTTCGCCGCTTTTAGCAATATCCAAGCAATATCACGGCGGGGTACATCAGAAATGGGCTTCATACATTGTACCCATGTGGGGAATCGAACCCGGATTTCAGCGTGACGAGCGAACGCTTCAACCACTAGGCGATCCCACTGCCCACAGTCAAACAACCTGGGTTGGAATTGGTCTTTAACAACCCATTCTTGTATGAGGCGACTAACGGGATCGGGCGGCCAGGCTCGCTCATAATTGAGTAGATCGATGTTTATGACGTCAAACACTGAATTGCCTATTCCAAACTCGATAATGTACAGACTGCCATCAAATAGATGGGTTATGGGGCCTTGAAACACCAAGCAATGCAACCCAAAAAGCCTGAGATTTTAATAAATGCTGAGACTACTTTCACTTTTTCCGTTTAATTGTTCACAGTGTGCTGGTGATAAAATCGATTGACCACAATGAAACAAAGCATTTTCTCAGATGACTTAGATTTATTCACCTAATGTTAAACATACCTGTTACAAGGTGAACCGTGAATATCCGGGTTAGAATTCGTCTTCAACAACCCATGCTTGTCGTAAGAGGCGACTAACAGGATCGGGTGTCAGGCTCGCTGATGCATATCATCGTATCCCAATAGATCGATGGTCATGCTGTTGATCACTGCATTGTCTGGTCCAGACTCGATTATTTACAGACCGCCTTCATGTAGCTGGAATACTAGTGAGTGCAATAAACAATAAACAAACAAAAAATGGTTTATCATAATCACGCAAAACAGAAAGAATTGAACCAGAGTGAAATCTTATTTTCATTTAATTTTTCACACCATATATGGGAAAATACAGACATAGCTACACTTTTGCAACACACTTTGTAATATATTATTCATTTAAAGTTGAATTATTATTTTCATATAATAATTTACATCATATGATAAACCATACATCATTCATTTAGAGTTGTATTAATGATCTACACATGAGATGAGATAC